GTTAAATATTTTAATCATAAATACCCTAACCACCACAGTTTTCCCATTAATGCTGCTCTATTTCATTACCATATTCCTATATCTAGGACACGCATAATCGTGGGTTTCCTTTCAACCGTCCAATTTTTTGTGCAAGTACCTCATGGCTGTGTAATGAAAAACACATCCAGAACGTACATGTCGACAACACTGGTGCTGAGGGAGAGATAAAGCAATGCCTAATGAGATGTTAAAAAGGGAAACGGTAGATTGAGGAGTGGATGAACGGAGAGCCATGGCAACTGTAATAAGTGACAAAAGCATTTAGAGCATATTAACACCTTCATTTGGCTACGAGGTGTTCTATTTCCATGCAAAGTATCTGAACCCCCTGCAGCAGAGGGTCATTGCTACATCTGTATAAACAGCATCCAATTCCACATTGCATGAATTCCTCATATCTCTTCCCCGCCATTAAACTGTTCCCGCTTCTCTTGTAAGCCTCTGTTCTTTCCCCCGGCTTGCCTCTGTATCAGTGCTATATCAGTCCTCATCAGGGCTGTGCTAAAGACACTAGACATTATTGACTGATTGGCTGGTGATTTGTTATTTAAGTTATCCACAGAAGTGATCATTTTGGTGTCGTTTAATGGGGTCCACAGAGACATAGCACCCTCTACACCCCGACTCCCTCCCCCTCCCAATTGTTTTTCGGTGGCTAAATGATCTCTTAATGACTTTGTTTAGGAAATTACTTGCCTAAACGCCCATAATCAAATTGATCTGGTGCTGGGGAAACAGACAGATTAACAAGTCTGTGTAAATCCTGTTGAAGCGAGTGGAGCACGGGAGTCCTGTTAAAAGTAAAGAAAAGATAGTTAGAGTTGATGGCGTTTTAAAGCTCAGACTAAAGTTTCACTCGACCGTTTATCATTGCATTTTTCCTCCTCTGTCGTCCCTTACCATATTTATTGCATATTTATTTGTTGGCTTGACTCTCATAATCAAATTGGTCTGGTGCTGAGGAAACAAACAAATTAACAAGGTTGTTTAAATAGATTTGAAGCAAATTGAGCATATTGGTGAGTTCAGGAGTCCTGTTTTTCTTAATCGAATCTAAAAGATAGTTCAAGATGATGGGGTATTAAAGCTCAGACGGAGTTTAACTCGACCATATATCCTTCCCATGTTTCTTCCTCGTTGCCACTTATGAATTGCATATACTTATAGGTATATTTGCCTAAAGAACCGTCATCAAATTGATCTGGTGCTGAGGAAACAGACTACTTAACAAGGTTGTTAAAATGGTGTATAGTGGTGAGTTCAGGGGTCCTGTTTCATTAATAGTGTAAAAACGATAGAGTTGATGGCTTCAGACCAGTTTCACTGACCAGCTACCGCTCCCATTTGCCCCTCCTCTGTCGTCACTAAACACCCATAATTAAACTGTTCTGGTGTCAACCAGTCAAATTAACAAGGTTGTTTAAATAAATGTGAAGTAAATGGAGCTTGGCGGTGGGTTCCAGAGTCCTGTTTCATTAATAGTAACTAAAAGATAGTTAGAGTTGATGGTGTTTTAAAGCTCCGACTAAAGTTTCCCTCCGCTGGCTATCCCTTGAATTTATCTTTCTCTATCGTCACTTACCATATGTATCGAATATATAAATAAATATAAATGCATTGACTCTGCACACAAATGAGACTGTTGGGATTGCGCCAAAAAACAAGCTCAAGCCCTGAATATGTTTGTCACAACACCGAAAACAATAGTCCCCCCCGGTGAAATAAGTGCCACAGTAATATGCTACTGACAGTATAGTATTTTAATGTTTCTTAAGCCCTCACAGTGTGCCATCTTCAATATGACTTCCGTGACATCTACCACCATTTCAATTTCGTACACTGAGCGCTATAGCACCCTGGGGTTGGATATTTTGTATTAGTGTCTCCTCCAAATGGCAAAATGTATATGTGACTTGCAGTATGCCTCGTTCAATGATAATGGCGTATTACTACAGCTTGAGCCAGGCAGCGAGGCTCCTGAATGGACTCGGCTACGTCCATTTGTCATAATTACAGAGATACTTTGGATCTGAACCATTTGCACACACACACACACACACACACAACACACACACACACACACACACACACACACACACACACACACACACACACACACACACACACACACACACACACACACACACACACACACACACACACACACACACACACACACACACACACACACACACACACACACACACATACACATACACATACACATACACACACACACACACTTTTCTACTTGTGTATCTACTTATTCTGCTGTCCCATGAAATTGTATAGCCAAGGGTGTCTCATTATGCTAATCGAATGCGTACCGCCTGACATTTATTCATACATTATTAATAGCAGAAACAATAGAATCTGTGATTGGATATAGTGACTTCCCGACTTCTCATCTTCTTCTCTCTTACTCTTTCTCACTTATCTCTCACTTCATCTCACCCTCTCTTTACCACATGACCTCCTTTTCTTCTTGTGGGACTTTTTCTCCTTCACCTCCTATAAATTGGCTGGTGGGTGTTGAGTAATTAGCATGCCTCCCACTTTGGTTCTGATGTCAGCGCAGGGAATGCGAGAAATGTCCCATAAAGATTATGTGTCCTGATAAGGTTATGTCTGAGACTCCATTAAAGAGATGGGCTGCACAATGGCTGTTTGTACCCTTCTGTGGAGAGCGAGAGAGCGAGAGAGAGAGAGAGAGAGAGAGAGAGAGAGAAGAGAGAAGAGAGAGAGAGGAGAGAGAGAGAGATAGGAGTAGAGAGAGATAGAAGAGAGAGCTAGAAGTATCTTCTCTCGATCTCTCTCTCTCTCTATCTCTCTCTCTTCGCTCTCCTCTCTCTCTCTCTCTCTCTCTCTCTCTCTCTCTCTCTCTCTCTTCTCCACTCTCTCTCTTCTTCTCCTCTCTCCTCTCTCCTCTCTCTTCTGCTCTCTCTCTCTCTCTCTCTCCTCTTCCTTCTCCTCTCTCTTTTCCCTCCTCCTCTCTCTGTCGCAGAGAGAGAATTTTGTTCTATGTCTGTTGAACTTTCTTCTGTTCTTAATTTGTTGTTGTTGTAGGATTAAGATAAACCTAATATGTTAATCACTCTAGTTAATTAACATATTTTACTATGTTGCTTATAAGTAAAACCATATAGCCATAAGTATTGTAAAACCCAGTTATGGTTATTGCTTCTGGTCTTGGATTGTTTGAGCAAGATAAATTATTTCCTGTTCCAGCTATGTAAACTTAAGATAAGACATTGCTTCCCTTACAATAATTCATTATAATCAATAAAACTCTCCCTCACACAGTTCAGTACACTCAGGTTGTTTGCCTCATTAGCATTACTTGGTCTAATATGACAAGCTGTAAATAGTTACATTTGAGCTAAGTGACGCAGATGTTTGGGTATAAACAATATTTAGATTTTTGTTTATAACAGAGATTAAAGTCAGTTCCCTGTTTTAATGACTTATCCAACTGTTAAACTAGCCTATGTTTAAGCATTAATCATTATGACATATTGTGTTTGGGGCAGTAGTTACTGCTTGTTATTTAAAGTTAGAGTTAATGTTGCCAAAGTATTCAATGACATTTTACACAATAGCATATACAGTCTATGGTTTCAACATTAAATCGGTTACAATACACAACAGGACATACTCAATCTTTGCCAGTACAGCTCTTGAATTCACAACACAGTTCAGTTTGAAATGAACTCAGAAAGACTTGAAAAGAGTCTGTGAAAAATAAAGACTGACACACAGAAATGAAAGGCGGCATAGTGGCTACTTTATATTCAAGTGTTGTTGTTTTTGCATTGTTTTACACATTGTGCATCTGTGACCACAGTAAAATGCCGAGCAGTTTTGCATAAAGAAATCCAACCTTGAGTATCCAAATACGAGATGTGGCAATTGTGCATGAAGTGAAAGAAATGCTTTGTGTTTACAGCAGTGGCGATGTAAGCTCCTCCACTTGATTTTCAAAACAAATGATCCTGGGTGTTGCGTTCAGTGTTAAACCGCCAGCAAGATGAAAATCAAGTTATGGGATTTAGCTAAATATGTTTTTTGCCGACAAAACACAATTCCATGCCAGGCTCGCATGGAGAGAGAAATATTGATAGGTAAACTAATTACAGATGAGTCAGAGCTCAGGATAATAACAACTTGGATAAAAGTGCCTGTTGGATGCACATTTTGTTCCACCACACAAAATTGCAGTAAGAGCGTGCAGACGTAGCGGACCGGCAGCCAGTCATGCCTTCTGAGGTTTGCGGGTCAAATTGACAGCATAAGCCTTTCTCCTCCGAGTACATTTTCTAGATGGATCGTTTAGGGCAACTTCATTTGGCTATCATTTGTATTTCCACATGAATCACTTCCTGCAGACCTGCATGTCCCTGTACCGCCCGATATAAAAATACAGACAGTTCAACTCCGCCGTCAGAGAGGTGATTTGCGTCACTAGCAATCATTTAATTTTAGCAAACCACCACTTTCCACCAGCCTCTTTCATATCCTGAATGATGCTTGATGTATTGAGCCTTTCACTCCCTCGATGCCTATACAGATTTTCCATTAATCTATGGGTCATATACTGCCCTCTGTCTAGCCCAAGATGTTGGCCCCTTTGCCTCCTTCTCATTTTTCTCAGATGTGTCATAGATGGTGTGAAGTTTGATGTGGTCATGTTGTGGCACAGCGATCTGGCTGAATCCACCGCTGAGTGGACACTTAATCCCTCGCTCGGAACTGCTTTTTCTCTCCGAGCGAAGAGATAGAGATGCTGAGGGAATGCAAAGATAAAGCTTCAGTCAGAAAACAACATCCAGTTTTTTTAATTTATTGAATTAGTCAGAGATGGAGTGAGTTAAAAATGTTTCTGTGTGTGTTTCTGTGTGTCTCGCTCCTTTGTGTCATTTATGAAAAACACTAATTCCTTTTTTTCGTCTTTTCCACAGACTTCGCCTTTGTGTTGCCATGGCGACCGTGGCCCCTCCCTTCTTCCTGCTGTGTTGGCTGCTCCAAGCGGTCAGCTCGGCGTTCCCAGAGGAACCGGGGCCCCTCAACTACATCCCCACCGAAGGTATTGAACTCGCTGATTTTCTCACCCTCTAGGCACCTTCTCCCCCTTGCGTACCTCCCCCCCAGGTCGTGAAGTGTGGGGTCGCGGCCGGTGTTGAATTGAGTGGGAGGGCACAAAGGAGGCTTAGGGGTCACGGTGTGGGCTGTGAAGGTCAGACAGGCTCTGACACGAAGGGTGTTGACTGGCGTACAGGTCAGGAGGTGTGGGGTCGCACTCAGGAATGAGAGTATAGGACGGGGCTCTCACGTTCATGACTTTCACACACACACACACACACACACACACACACACACACACACACACACACACACACACACACACACACACACCCACACACACACATAGACCCTTGAGAGACGCTTACACACTCAGACTTTGAGTCTCCGTATCAGCTTGGCAGTCTCCATCTCAGACCCGACCTTGATTGATTGCAGTTCAATATTATTGATTGATGGTTTCCCAGCTGAGTCCAGACCCTTCTCGACGTATCAAGTGAGAGTGGAGCGTAGAGAGGCTGACAGGCCACTGAGCGCTGCACTGGAGAGGCTGCTTTAGACTCAGCAGCTGTTTACATCAGGTACAAGCAGGGTTGGGAGGGTTACTTTAAAAATATATTGTGGTACAATTACTAGTTCATTGGAACATATGTCATCAGTAACCTAATGTAAGTATCACAGAATTAAATAAAGTTTCTGTTATTTATGGGTTACCTCAATATCAAATGCAGTTGTAATAAACACAAGTAAAATATATAACAATATGATGGCTTAACTTAAATGTATTAAGTATAGAACAATGTGACCTTAGAAAATAAACCAAGATATTTAGTATCAGAAATGTTGCCTCTTGAATTATAGGGTAGTTTTACAGGATACTAATTTACAAGTTCTTTGAGTTTAACACATGAATTGAACGCAAACAGTATTGTTGTTGAAAAAAACAGGATCTTTTAATAAAAAGAATAAATGTAGCCTTAATGAAAACCAAAATAAAATTCAGTACATCTACCTATAAAATATCGATTTGTATTGTTAAATGCATTTTAAAATTGAAATCCTGCCCATATTTTGTATGTAACTGTAAGGGAATACAATTACCAGTTTTTTTCCAACCTGATTACATAACCCAGTTAAATGTAATCTGTTACCCCACAAGTCTGGTTACAATTCATCAAAGAAAATGCAGGCTTATCTGGAGGGTCAGCCATGAGGAGAGTGTGGAGGTGGACAGAGAGAGAAGAGGATGAATCACAGTTTTCCATGGCAGAGCGACATAGATACAAGAGGACAAAATGACAGGGTAGAAATTACCTGAAGAAGACAAAACATAGAGGTGAAACCAGCGAAAAGTATATACTGTAGGATTGAAAGAGGTAGTGATGAAAGAGTGATGAGATGAGAGGATGAAAATATTCACCTCACTGAAGGTCAATCAAGGATAGCCACGCTGCTAATGCATCTGATTTATATGTGTGATTTCTGCTTGTGGTACAACATGATAGAAACCTGCTGAAAATGCTCCACTTCTTTTATCTCTGATCTGTCTCCCCTAAGGTTTCCCTTTCTTAATGTACCAAGTTCCTTATCCTCCGAAACACTTTGAACATTTTGTTTTACCTCTTTGATGCTCTTGAAAATGTCACGTCTCTCTGGGTGTCTTTCTTTATGAATGATCTGAAATGTTTGACAGAATATGTCTTGCCAAATGTGTCATCAAAAAGCAGCAACATTTCATGAAAAGCGTCTCCAAATCAACAACAAACAAAACTTAAAATATTACAGTGACATATGATTTATAGATCCGACATATTTTATTTTCAGAGGCTTATTTGTTTTGTTGTTCCTCGGTTTGTGCTCTGCTCTGTCGCTTTGTGGGCTTAATGTAGCAGAAATACTGCTGTTTCAAATGCAGGTCTCAAAAGTTGTCACCTTGAATACCTGTAACTGCCTCAGAGCTGTCAAAACAACCTAACAGCAAACCAATTTATGTTGACTACTTTTCTATTTCGATGTCAGTTTCGGAATCATCCATTATGTGTATCTGTCCCTTTTTTCATCCGCAGTCGTGAGAAGACATGCAGTGTTTCTGGGCCGACCCCACCGGACATGGCTCAGACAAGAGCCTCTTCACATCCAGAGGATCCTGCAGGTCAATCGGACGCTCTACATTGGAGCCAGGTACATCACACTCACACTCATACTAATGCATGTATAGTATACACAGATCATGTACAGCTATCTAAAGTGAAAATAGGCTTTGAAAAATCTTGGATCTGTGATTTGCCTTTGATTGTTTGTCTCACACACATACATAAAGGTATATATATATAGCTCTGTCAAAACCAGCTTTGATATCTGTTGGATTATCTGTTATCACTGCATGTGTTGCCAAGCAACGTAAGCTATTTTTAGGAGTTACAGTGTTTCAGATCTTAGTTTTCTAATAAAACATACCATCAGTACCAACTCTTGCTTGCTGGGTTGTCGTCCAACACTTTGGTTTATGTTTCAACATGCTAACTGCACACTAGCTAACGTGCTAGTGACATGTCTCCATGCTTTAATGTACAAAAAGCTCTTTATTTTTCTCCTACCGCCTGTGCTGCAGCACCTCTTTTCACCCTCTGTATGAAACCAGAGCCCATCTTCTCTGATTGGTTAGCTGGCCGGCGCTTAGAGATGTCACGTACAATGTGAGCGCTAGCCAATAGAAGCGCAAGTTATCCATAGAGACGTCACTACACTAATGAAGTAAACAAAAGAGTCCAATGGAGGTGTTTTAGGCAGGGGGGGGAGTGTGTGGGAGATAAATCAAATCAAATCAAGTTTTATTTATATAGCACATTTAAAAACGATTTTTGGTCGAGCCAAAGTGCTGTATGGTCTCTGACTTGGCTGAGAAGATCCTGCATATTTGGGGCTGAACATCCGACTGTGAAGAATGTGGTACTGCACATTGGAACAAATTATGTTGTGAAACAACAGTCAGAAGTGCTGAAAAAAGACTTTAAATGTCTGTTGGAAACTGTCAGCTCTCTAAATGCAGAGGTGTTCATCAGTGACCCTCTACCGCCAGTCAGAAGAGGAGTGGAGAGATTCAGCAGATTGTTTGCACTGAACACCTGGCTTTCAACTGTCTGTATTGACCATTCTATCAATTTTATTGACAACTTTAACTTTTTCGGGGACCGCAGACATCTTTTTAAGGCAAATGGAGTTTGTCTGAACAAGTCAGGAGTGAAATTGTTTATCTCTAACATATTCAACTGCCTACGTCATCAATCTGTTCCCTTTGCCAAGGACAAGCAACAAGAGGAATCAAAACAAGAGAAAGACACAACACATCACTCAGAAAACCTTGAAAATCTATCACTGCACCCGCCTGAGGAATGTCTTGATTATGGGAGACAAATGGAGTCTCCACCGCCCTTCACCCCCCCTATCACCTCTGAGGATACTCTTCCTTCACCCCACAGCTCTCTCTACTCTCCGTTCACCCTTTCACCCTCGCCCACCCTCCTGGAGATCGCTGAACACACAAAGGAGATACAGAGGGTTGGCACCGATTCCTTCCTGGAGTTCAAAGACCAAACTAAGGCGATACGCGGGGTTGGCAGCATGTCCTTTACCCCCGCTCCTCAACGACGCCCACCAAAATCACTGCAGAGACGCGCACCATCTCCCCCGTCTTCATCACCGTGCCTACGTCAACCATCTCCCCCCCTGGCAGCATGTCCTCTACCCCCGCACCATCTCCCCCGTCTCCATCACCGTGCCTACGTCAACCACCTCCCCTCCCTTCAAGAAAGCATCTGCAGTCTCTGAAGCCTGATAAGGATGTGTGTGTACAAAACGCAACAAACTCTTACTGATATGTGATGGGTCCAGGCTCAAGGGCGTATGGCACTCTCAAATCTTTCCAGGACATGCCGGGGCCCTGCCTGCCAGTAGCTTTGCCGATATCTGTGTTGATAGGTAATAGATTAAGAGCGGTGAATCAGCTTAGAAACAGGAAGTGCTCAAACGTTCGTGTGAGTTTATTAAATTTAGCAGTGACTCCATGTCAGCCACAGCTTGTCACAAAACATCTTACTGATAGTGTATCTAAGAAACTTAAACTAGCTTTATTAAATGTCAGGTCTCTGGCAGGAAAAACATTTTTAATCAATGATTTTATCACTGAGCACAATCTTGATTTTATGTTTTTAACGGAAACTTGGATTGAACAAAATAACAGTGCAGCTGTTCTTATTGAATCAACCCCTCCCAACTTTAGTTTTATGAGTCAGGAAATAATGCATAAGAGAGGAGGTGGAGTTGCTATTTTGTTCAATGATTCCATTCAATGCAGGAAGACATCTTATGGGAACTTTGCTTCTTTTGAATATGTGGCCCTTCAGCTGAAATGCTCCTCTCGAGCTCTGTTCCTAAATATCTATAGACCACCCAAATACTGTGCAAGCTTTTTTGATGACTTTACTGAACTGCTGTCTATACTGTGTATTGACTTTGATCGTCTAGTCATTGTTGGTGATTTTAACATCCATGTTGACAACCCCCAGGACAGAGGGGCTAAAGAACTGTTTTGTGTTCTTGATAACTATGGACTGACTCAGCATGTGACTGGAGCCCACGCACAATAAGGGGCACACTCTGGACTTAATTATCTCAAAGGGTCTGAATATCTCTAAGGTTGTGGTGACTGATGTTGCACTCTCTGATCATTCCTGTGTGTTCTTTGAGAGCTCTATTTCTGTTCACAAAAATGTTCAAAAAGAGGTAACCACAAAGCGATATTTAACTGAAAATACTAGGGAAATGTTTACTCAGAATTTTTCTTCCACACTTGCCCCTGCTAACATCTCAGTAAATGAGCTAGTAGATCATTTTAATTCAAAAACTAAAAATGTTATAGATGCCATTGCTCCAACTAAGGTAAAGGAAGTGACTGGGAAGAAAATATCTCCATGGAGAAAGGCCATGACCGTGAGAGCAGAAAAAAAGAGAGTGTCGAAAATCTGAACGTAGTTGGCGAAAAACAAATCTCCAGGTTCACTTTGAAATCTATAAAGAGAGACTTGGCCTTTATAATTTGGAATTAAATCATTACCAAAAACAAAAACAATGCACGTGCCTTGTTTGCTACCGTCGACAGACTGACTAACCCCCCAGTGTCAGTAGCCTCTGAATTTCTATCCACCAAGGCGTGCAATGATTTTGCCTTCTTCACTGACAAAATTCAGAAAATCAGACAAGCAGTCAGTGCCTCTGCATCAGGTACAGCAAATGTTTTGTCCCTGTGTCCACCTAATATCAATTCAAACACCATGACACAATTCCATCAGATTAATGATAAAAACCTAGAGGACATTATTCAACTTCTGAAATCCTCCTCCTGCTGCCTTGATATTATTCCAACAGGATTTTTCAAAGATGTTTTTCGTTGCATGGCCTCAGATCTACTTAATATAGTAAACAAATCTCTTCACTCAGGTATTTTTCCACAGGCCCTGAAAACTGCAGTCATTAAACCGCTCTTAAACCACAAGTTCAGACGAAAACACCGTCTTAACATGTATTCTGTGTAAGAAGAATTGGCATTCCTTGCACAATTGCAAGAAGTTCATGGAGCAAGCTGTTCCAGACAGAATTAAGTACATTCAAGCTCAGAAGCTATGCTTTGGATGTCTCGAGACTGGCCATCAGTCAAGGAGCTGCCACAGTAGGAGTGTATGTGAAGTATGCAAGAAGCAACATCCTACCTGTCTGCATGAAGAGCGTACAAATCAAGAAAGATACAAAGAAAGACCTCAAGCAACACAACAAGAAGAAAGAACCACAGCGGCTACTTCCAACAGAGTAATACTTGGTGAAGGTAACACGCAAACAGCTGCTATAATTCCAGTCTGGCTTTCATCCACATGTCAACCAGCAGAATAAATCCTTGTATACGCTCTGTTGGATTCTCAAAGTGACACAACATTTGTGCTAAGTGAAGTAGCTGAGGCTTTGGAAGCAAGTAAACAACAAGTCAAGCTCAAGCTATCTACTATGACCTCAAGAACCACAGTTATAAGCGCTCAAAGAGTGAACAACCTACAAGTCAGAGGCTTTTACTCCGGTAAAAAGATTCCCTTACCACCAGTCTATACACGTGACTTCATTCCAGCCAACAGAACTCACATACCAACAGATGAAACTGCAAAAGCTTGGTCTCATCTAGAGCACCTCCAAGGAGAGATTGCACCTCTGCAAGACTGTGAAGTGGGTCTGCTCATAGGGTACAACTGCTCACAAGCTTTACTTCCAAGAGAAGTTGTGTTTGGCAAAGAAAATCAACCTTACGCACAACGTACAGACCTTGATTACGGAGACGCCATTGGTGTTAGCCATCGCATAGTAGTAAGACAAGTGACACCAGGTGTAGAACCTTCTCTCAGTCTCAAAACTGAAGTACACTATGTGAGCCGAAACAAAGTTAAAGACATTACTCCCTCAGAAATCATAAAAATCCTTGAATCAGACTTCTCAGAAAGAGTTGGAGAAGAGGATTCTGTGTCCCAAGAAGATCTCAAGTTCCTGTCGAAGTTGAGAGAAAGCATCACACACAAAGAGAATGGTCACTACGAAATGCCATTACCATTCAAAGGCGAAAGACCAAAATTACCTAACAACAAGACGTGCGCAGTACACCGCCTAAATTGTCTTGAAAGAAGACTAAAAAAGGATCAGAAGTACTACAAGGACTACGTCAACTTCATGGATGACATCATTTTACGTGGTGACGCAGATAAGGTCCCTGAGGAAGAAATCAACAACAATCCAGCCTGGTACATTCCTCACCATGGAGTTTATCATCCACAGAAACCAGGAAAAATACGAGTAGTATTCGACTGTTCTGCCAAGTACCAGGAAACATCCCTCAACGACCATCTGCTCACTGGTCCTGATCTGACAAACACGTTGGTGGGTGTACTGTGTCGCTTTCGCAAAGGTTCTATTGCTGTCATGTGTGACGTCGAAAGAATGTTCCACCAGTTTCATGTGAAAGGGGAAGATCAAGATTATCTAAGATTCCTGTGGTAGGAGTGCGGAAACTTAGAAACCAAACCATCCATCTACAGAATGAAGGTCCACTTGTTTGGAGCAGCATCGTCTCCTGGCTGTGCCAACTTCGG